ATATATATATATATATAGTTTTGATAAATGACCAAAGGCTCCAATTATATACAAGAAACATATTTAACACTACAAGAAATAATAATAATAATAATAATAATAATAATAATAATGAAAAATGACATTTTGTAGCTACATAATCACGTATTTACAATGAATTTATGATTTCATCACTAATTAAAAAATTTATATTGAAAGAATAAGTTCTGAAATGAAAAATAAAATTTATTGCTAAAAAGTAAAATTTATTGTTCTTGTATCTATGGTATTTGTATTAGGAAGTAAATAAAACTAAATATATAAGAAAAGGACGACTTAACCTAAACCTCTAAATCAAACCTAAACTTCTACCCCACCCCTCAGCCGCCACTCTCCTCTCCGTTTTATTACTCCTTTCTTCCACAATAGCGTTAATTTAAAGTTGCAAGAACAAAGAGGAGTAAGAGGGTAACTTCACTGCTTCTTATTTATAGACAAAAAATTTAACTTGTTAGTTCGTCTCTTTTACATGGTAGGGCTTTTGAATCTTCTTACACGTACTTGAATTTAGGGTTTTAAGTTCAATTTACGAGTTATTCCAGCGATTTGATAGATATTATGGCTTATTTGTTTTATAAGTAGTGGGTGTGATTTTGAAGATTTGATAGGTTTTGTGCTTACACCTAATTGACTTGGGTTTGTGCTTCAATTGTTTATTTTTGATTTGTAGGGTGCTCAAGAAAGCAATGCCTTTGAGAAATTTCAATCTCTTCTAATGCCAAATAGTAAGTTTTACTTCTTTTTCATCTCCTTAAGTTTTATGATGTTTATTTAAATGCTTTTTCTTTTGTCTTCTGTGTTGGAATTTTTTTTAGATTTTTTACACCTTGATTCATGGCGAAGTATTTTCTTATTCTATAATTTATTGAATTTTTCAATTACTAACCGTAAACGCATCTAAATCAGTATATATTTTGATAATTCGAATATAAATTTCTCACAAGATCATGTTATTTTATTATTTCAGTATAGTGATTACGGAGAGTGCTTCATTATTCTTGGATGCATGAAGATCAAGTGCGACGAGGGCGGCGACATGAATCATCAAGCAAATACTTATGTTCATTTAATATGAAATTTTGTACTTTATTTTTTATCTCTATTACAATCAAGCCTCACATTTTCTAGTTATTTTCTTCAAGTTTTAGTTACCGTAGAAGACTTCTCTACTGCATATGCTATTAATTTATTAGTACAAATGTGGATTTTGGAATTTATTTTATGAATTTTTTTAAATGCCAATTTGTGTAGAATGAGTTATTTCTCAAACTTAATATGTTATTAGTTTTAATATATTATGTACGGCCACAGAATAATTAAAAATTTTTAGAAAAAAATCAAATAGCTAAGAAATAGGGGAATTAAAATATAATAGAATAATCTAACCACGACTCTTTTGTATGATTTTTAGCCATGAAAATTTTAGTCCCTAGCTAAACAAAAATATTTTTGCCACAATTACATCTAAATTTTTGTGGCAAATAAATTTAAACTTTTGCCACGCTATAATACTTTGTGACTACCATATAAAGATAGCTACAGATTTATTTGTCGTGGCAAGCGTATAAAATCATTTGCTACAAATGTATTTGTTATGGCAAAAGTATTAAATTATTGTTACATATATAGCTATAATATAAAAATTCGTAGCACTAAGTATTAATCCTTAGCCACGGACCATGTAAAGTTTGTAGCTAACTTTTAGCTACGCTACATTTTGCTACGAATGCTACGGGAAAAATTATTGTAGCTAAAGTGTTTAGCCACGGAAATTTTCATAATTAGCTACGTTTTGTTTTGTAGCTATAACAACATTATGTTGTAGTGCCAGTTGAAGTATTTAGTGACAGCAAAGCAGCAATTCAAATTGCTGCAAATCCTGTTTATCATGAAAGAACAAAACATATTGAAATCGACAGCCATTTCATCAGGGAAAAAATCATGCAAGGACTCATCAAAACAACCTACATATCTACCAAGGAGCAGCCAGCAGATATATTAACTAAAGGCCTCAACAAAGCTCAGCATGTATATCTTTCTTCCAAGCTAGGTGTTCTTAATGTGTTTTCGGTACCTAGCTTGAGGGGGAGTGTAGAGAAAGATATAACATAAAGGGAAGAGGGTCAACCTAGTAATTTTACATAGCTCAGTTTATTAGTTAATTAACTATCAATCCTAGAGTTAGTTAAATCTCTAATAACGACTTAGGTCTAGTTAAGCTTAATTAGTTATAATCATAGCTATATATATATATATATATATATATATATATATATATATATATATATATATATATATATATATATATANTCCTTCTCTACTTCTTCTCTCTTCTTCTGCTTCATCTCTTCTTCTTCTTTTCATGTTCAATACGAATTGTTCAATTACAATTTCAGTTATAGAAGACATATATTATAACATAATAATGTTCGATCCAGAGAAAAACTTAATTTTTGTAGTGAGAGGTCTGACTGTAATAGCGTCGTACACTTAATCTAAACAATTTATGTTGGTAAATTTTAATAATAGACAAAACTCAACGTCAAAAAAGTAATTAGAAAGGCAATACACGAGTTTTATAGGGTTAAAAACATACTATAACTATTAAGGTAATCATCTCATTGAAATTACTATTATAAATTGTAACAATAGAACAACTATACGTAATTAACCAAAGTGTTTTCATAAGAATGAGGGTTAATTACACGCACGCGGTGTTTATATCATACAAATGAGGAAGAGCAATGGATAAATGTTGAAAAATGATAATTTTATTTACCATCTACATACATTTTGTAAATATTTTCACAGCAGTCCTTACAAGTTGCAATTAATTAACTAGCATAATTTTGTAATATTACAACAATTCTAATCTTTTTGAAATGAGATGCAAACGCATCAAATTACCTCGGCAAAGATGGAATTTTGGGGCACAATATAAACAAAGCAAAACTAGGGAGTTTGGACGATTTTGACCAAGTCTATTTTTTTTTTTTTTTTTTTG